GTGTGTGTGTGTGTGTGTGTGTGTGTGTGTGTGTGTGTGTGTGTGTGTGAGAGAGAGAGAGAGAGAGAGAGAGAGAGGGAGAGAGAGAGAGAGAGAGAGGGAGTGAGAGAGAGAGAGGGAGTGAGAGAAAGTAGCTAAGTAACTAGTATCTGAGAGAGAAAGAGAGAGAGAAATTAACTAAGTAAGTAACTAGTATCTATCTATCCATCCATCCATCCATCCATCCATCCTTCTATCTATCTTAGGTGTGTGTGCGTGTGAGAGAGAGAGGGAGTGAGAGAAAGTAACTAAGTAACTAGTATGTGAGAAACAGAAAGTAACTAAGTAACTAGTATCTGAGAGAGAGAGAGAGAGATAAATTAACTAAGTAAGTAACTAGTGTCTGTCTGTCTGTCTATCTATCCATCCATCCATCCATCCATCCATCCATCCATCCATCCATCCATCCATCTATCTATCTATCTATCTATCTATCTATCTATCTATCTATCTATATATCTATCTATCTATCTATCTATCTATCTATCTATCTATCTATCTGTCCGTCCGTCCGTCCGTCCGTCCGTCTGTCTGTCTGTCTGTCTATCTATCTATCTATCTATCTATCTATCTATCTATCTATCTATCTAGTTGCAGTTGCGACATTTGTCCATTAGGTGTCGCCAAACTCGTGCGCCTTTTGCATCCAGTGTTCCTGGCCTGGACCGTTTGTGGGTTCTCTCGGTTATTTATTTATTTATTTATTTATTTATTATATTCCGGACCAATCCCAGACGAGGTGGGCGGCTCTCCACTGTTACTACAGATACTGGACGAAGTTTGCAGCCGACCTGCTGCCTCTGCTGCTGTCGCTGCTGCACCTATGAGTCTCCACGTAGATGAACAGCCTGGGCTCGCGCGCGACAGACGAGCTTGATTATGCTGAGATAAGGACCGTATGACCTGCTCACGCGCTCCGTCCAACAATGGCACGCGACGGTGGTTCCCCCGCGGAGGACTTCCCGGACCAGCTGCTGGCCGAAGCGGCTCCCTGCGTGATGTGCAACAAGAAGTGCCGGGCGGGTCGGAGCACCAGCCTCGTCTTCCTGGGACTGTTCCTGCTGTCGCTGTCCCTGCACGCGCTCACCCTCGTCTGCTACCTGGACCTGCGCTCCGAAGTCAAGAGGGAAATTACCCACCAGAAGCGGGACTCTGTGGTGTCACGAGCCGGGCGGGAGCTGGCTGACCCGGCGGCGGTGCTGCTGCCGCCGCCCGGACACCCGCGCGTGGACTCCGGCAGAAGCCGCGGCGGAGAGGGTCATGAGGTAAACAAGAACTAAAATAAAAGCACAAACAGAAACTGGTTTGGAAAAATCAATAAGAAGTCAAAGATATGGGTCTAACTGAAGGCCCGCGGACCAAATCGGGTCCCTCGGGTTCATCTGGCGCACAGCACGTGACAGATGAAAAGTAATGCACAGGCCTCTGATGACAGATAGCAGCTTCAAAACTCAAGAAAAATTGAGTTGAGCATTTTCAGTCATTTTTAAATATCACGTTGAAGTTTGTCGCTGCAGGAATTCGTCATTTGTCTGCTTTGATTTTATTTTTCTGTCTTCCTATTTAAAAGGCACATTTTGGATGTTTGTGGTTCTTTTTTTTTTTACTGATTTGATGGATTGTGATCAAGTTTATTACTCAATTCTACACGATGGATGAGTGGTTAGAGCAGTCATCCTCAAATGCGTGAGTTGGGGGTTCGATTCCACCAGCAGTCACATGCTGAAGTGTCCCTGGGCAAGACACTGAACCCCTCATTGCCTCCGATGTGTGTCCCATCTGTGATAAAACCCAGATTAATCTTTTTATAGATATAGTAGAGTGCTGTATGAATGGATAAATGAGGGCACAGATTGTAGTGTAAAGAGCTTTGAATATCTCAAAGGGTGCTATATAAGTACAGTCCTGCCAATGAGGAAAAGGTCATTTGTATTTCTGAGTAATTTGGCATATTACCTCTTAACAACAAGGTCTTATTTCATTAAATGTTGACCGAGCTGCAGCATGGTGGCACAACTGGTAGAGCTGCTGCCTCTCAGCGAGCAGGTCCTTGGTTCAAACCCCAGTCCAGGGGCCTTTCTGGGTGGAGTTTGCATGTTCTCTCCGTGCATGTGTGGGTTTTCTCCAGGTACTCCAGTTTCCTCCCACAGACCAAAAACATGCATGTTAGGCTGATTGGTAACTCTAAATTGTCCCTAGGTGTGAGTGAGAGAGTGAATGGTTGTTTGTCTCGTTTGTCTCTATGTGTCCCTGTGATGGACTTGCGACCCGTCCAGGGTGTACCCCGCCCCTCGCACAGTGATTGCTGGACATGGGCACCGGCGACCCCCGTGACCCAAAATGGAATAAATGGGTAAAGATAATGGATGGATGGATGGTTGACCGAGCTTGGCCCTTGGCCTGGAGCAACCCCTGCCTTGTACTGTACTGCTTCCTGTCATGTCCACTCTCCTCCTGCTCCACAGGTGTTGTACTGAGTTGTGTTCCCTGTTGAGATCCACACCTTTCCTGTACATTTCCAGCCATCCAAGCTCCAATAAACAGAGGCACAATGATCAAAACGTTATCTTTTGGTAGCATTTCTTAAAACCACAGAGTTTAAAGAAGAAACGGGGGTGGTCTTGACAAGAAAACACACATTGACACACCTGTTATCAGATTGTGTGTTTGTGCTATGTCGTGGCATGTTTCCATCCATCCATCCGTTATCTGTTTCTTCCTTTTTGGGTCACGGGGGTCACTGGTGCCCATATTCAGCAGTCACTGTGCAAGAGGTGGGGGACACCTGGACAGGTCTCCAGTTCACATAGAGACAAACAACCATCCACTCTCTCATTCACACCTAGGGACTATTTAGAGTTACCAATCAGCCTAACATGCATGTTTTTGGTCTGTGGGAGGAAAATGGAGAGAACATGCAAACTCCACCCAGACAGGCCCCCGGACTAGGATTTGAACCGGGGCGACCTGCTCGCTGAGAGGCGGCAACTCTACCAACTGCGCCACCGTGCTGCCGTGGCGTGTCGGCTCATTTCACCGGAGCATCACAGCTCAGTCTCCGTGTACAGAAACGTTCAGACGTCGCACTTCCCGCATTGGTCTCAAGAAAAAAGGTCTGCTTTAACGCTGTCGTTTGCTCAAAGACAACCTGCTCAGGTAGACTCGCCCGGCGTGGCAGTTTTCTTTCTTTAAGCACGTCAGCTGCTTTCCGTTGACTCGTTCCGTTTAACTGAGCCACATTTAACCCAGTTAGTCTGGCCCTCTGAGCTCGCTTTAATAAGGAAGGTGCCCAGCTGGAATGGTGGAGACGGGTCAGTCGGTGTGCTGGAACAGGTGGACGGCAAATGAACTTGATCACCGGCAGGTGCAAAGCCCAAGGGGCTGATGTAAATTCATGAGGACTTCGATGGAGCACTTGGTACTTGGAGCGGAGCCAGTCTCGTCTCACATGTGTTTTCTTTTCTGGCAGCAGGCTGATTGAACTCTCATTGTGTTGTCTTGTGGCTTTGGCAACAGCCCCCTCCTGCACCCCCACCACACGCACGCTCTAATTTAATCAGCACACACACCAAAAAAAAAAAAAGGGGGGGGGGGGGGGACCTCACTTTCTGGTTTCTTGCTCATTTGTCAACATTGTGTAAGCGTTTTGCACGGAGAAAGCGATCCTCTGTGTGGGCCGGACATTTAGTTGTGCAGAGCAACTCAGAGGAATTAGTTTTTTTTTTTGTTGTTGTTGTCGTTCCAGACAAATTTATTTCCCCGTTGGAAACATTAATGAGATCCATCGCTCGTATTTCTCCATAAAATTTTTTTCTCTCACGAGATCGGCCTATTTGTTTAGCCGTCCGTGCGTCCTCTCCTACGCTTATTTTAGATAGTAGTGGTTTCCCCTGGTTGTAGATGGGCCCAGTATCCAAGCCCAGATGGTGACGCTTCATGGGGTGAAAGACTGTGGCCCAGCTGTAAATATTTAACAGCGCTGTGATGCTGTCCTCGCCAGATGTGCGCATTAAACAACTCTGATTACACATCCCACAGTTTACATAGTTGGAGAAACAGGAGCATGTGGCATTTAGACGCAGCGGCCGCACTTGTAAGCTTTTTTTTTTTTTTTTTTCAGGCGTTCCCTTTGAAGGTCTCCTCTCTTGGAGCTAAGAAGTTGTTTATGCGATTGTTTTCTCACAGGTCTCCATCAAAGGCGCCTCAGCAGGAATGGTAAAATTGGATGCGATGTGCGGGTTACGCAGACAAGTGTAGCAAGGCACGAGAAAACTCCGCCGCACATCGGCAGACGATCTGACGTGACAAACATGAAACAAGTGGGATTTGTCATCATTTAGTGGCTGCGGGCTAGCCTACGATGGATGGATTTATATATATTTTTTTTTTATTTTTTTTGTTGTTGCCGGGTTGTGTTTTGAAAACAAGCCAGGTGGTGTGGATGTCTTCACCATGTTGTTTACTGTCTGTCTGATTGGTTTCAGCTGAGCTGGTCACAAAGATCCAACTTTAAACAAGTAGCGTCTAAATGGAGTTGTAGGAAAAAGGAACAGTTGTCATGCTTAGAGGCGCCTCACAGACAGAAGGTTGCTGGATTGAATCCCGGCCGGGGGCCTTTCTGGGTGGAGTTTGCATGTTCTCTCCGTGCATGCATGGGTTTTCTTCAGGTGCTCCGGTTTCCTCCCACAGACCCAAAAACATGCATGTTAGACTGATTGGTAACTCTAAATTGTCCCTAGGTGTGAATAAGAGAGTGAATGGTTGTTTGTCTCATTTGTCCCTTTGTGTCCCTGTGATGGACTGGAGACCTGTCCTGCGTGTCCCCCACTTCTCACACAGTGACTGCTGGATATGGGCACCAGTGACCCCCGTGACCTGAAAAGGAAGACGCAAGAAAAGATGATGCATGCATGATGGATGGATGGACGGACGGGCGGACGGACGGACGGACAGACGAATGGATGGATGTCTTGCTTAGCAATTTCCTGAAAAAAGTGGATAGAAAATAGCTGTTTGCACAGCTGATGTTGCAGGAATATAATCAATGAGCCTACTTATAAGGCTGATGTGTGTGTTTATAATATATACATATATATGTCAGTTTTGTTACTGAGCCTGGTTAATCAATTAAAAGTCAGGCATGTGTGGGCAGCAGTGTTGTCAGATCTGACGCTGCCTTTCACATCAGGAGTTGCTTTTTTTTTTTTGGCACATCATCAACAGGCTCCAAAAGAAATTAAATGAAGTATTACGGTAACTTTACTACATCATCAGTAATGGCTTGTGTGGTCTTTAAGTATTTCAGATATGATCAGCATGCTGTGACTGAAGTTTTTTTTTTTTAATTCAGTCATATACAAAAGTGTTTTTAATCAAAAAAGATGATGATGATAATTGAGCCTACAAACCTTTTTCTGAACCACTTTGGCCTTGGTTGTCCTCAGACTCTGAGTAGCAAGTTGGCCATATGGGCTAAAACTTGTGATTGTTGGTTGTTTTGGATGGGTGTGTTTTGCATGTGTTAAAAGCCTTCTTCTGAGATTCCAACAGGAGGTTGTCTTGAAACACATCATTGAAGGCTACCTATGGGACAGTTCTGCTTGGCAGGCCGTAGACTGAGGAAGTCCTCTGGATGAGGGACGAAACGTTTCTCACTTAAAGAAACTGGTCCAGATGACACGATTTAACCTTTTTTGCTGTTTTTAATCAACTGGTTTTGAGCAGAAATTAGCTGATGTTTTTTGGCCAATGCCGTTATTTAGAAATCTAGGCAGCCGATGGCCGATATACAACAGCCTCTTTTATTTTTTGGTATATGCATATTTTATTTAACAAAAATTGCTTAATCTACTGTGGGTGTGCGCACGGGCATTTACCAGAGCTTGAACGCTTAAAACGAACAAAGAAGAGCATTCTAAAATACAGGATACAGCAAGAAGGTCGTAGCAGCAGCTGCTGCAGCTCCATTCAGCTGTGAATGATTGCAGTTTGTTTTTACGTTGTCACTATCATCCCGTTAAAATCTGTCTATTAGAAGCAAGCCCTGTGCTGTTCTTGTTATTATTACACACCCTATAATAAACATTGGCCCAATTTTTTTCCTTTTTTTATGTCACATTGCAGTGTGTAAGAATCCTCATCAGCCACTGACCAACCTTTATGTGTGGACAACTTTTATAATATTTAAAGTGATGGAAAGACTGAAACTGATTTTTTTTTTTGCTCTGATTTTAAGTAGGGATGCACGATATTGGATTTTTGGCCTTGCTGATATGTTAAAACTTATTTGACCGATAACTGATACTGATATTTTTATATACTTTCCTTTGTCAGAACTCTTATTTAGGCTTATTTGCTATAAAAATTGTGCAAAAGCTGTAAGAGCTGGTGACATATATTCAGTAACAGCCATATGATATGCATGGCACTTGAACTTTTATTAAATGAAAAGTGTTAAATGTTATTTATTAGCATTAATCACCTGCGATGCTGTCTCATTTGTGGAGGCTTGTTCCAGGTTCCTAGCTGCAGTGTGGGATCCTCTGCACTCTTATGCATGAAGGACAGACTTTTAAAGTTCGTTTTTGTCTGTCCATTGTGCCGTAAGACTAATCATGCTAACGGGGCTAACACGACGTCCAAATGGCTGTGGTAAAACTCACCCAAGTGCTATCGGCTATTAGCTTCTCAATGACGTCGGAAATGACGGCTTGTAACTCTGTACGTCAGAAAAATAGCTCCAACTGGGGATGATGTAGCGAGGCTCAATGTAGTCCAAAAATCTTCGGAATCCTCAACAAAAAAAAAACTTCCACACCGCCGACATTGTGAATTTTTCTCTCCGCTGTGATCAGATCAGGTAGGCGCACGTGACATCATCATGTTGTGCTGCCTCTGCAGGCATCCTTGTCACTGGGTTGTCATACAAAAACAGTGCCTGTTGTATCCAGTGAGTTATTTTAATGGCATGGCCGATGTCCGATATTGAACTTTAATACTAATATTGGCCGATACCATGCCGATAATATCGTGCATCCCTAATTTTAAGGGTTTAAGTCATGGCGTGAAACAAAACTTTCCACATTTATGGGTTTGACCCTAGGCAGCACGGTGGCGCAACTGATAGAGCTGCTGCCTCTCAGCGAGCAGGTCCTTGTTTCAAACCCCGGTCCAGGGGCCTTCTGGGTGGAGTTTGCATGTTCTCTCCGTGCATGCGTGGGTTTTCTCCGGGTACTCCGGTTTCCTCCCACAGACCAAAAACATGCATGTTAGGCTGATTGGTAACTCTAAAATTGTCCCTAGGTGTGAGTGGGAGAGTGAATGGTTGTTTGTCTCGTTTGTCTCTATGTGGCCCTGTGATGGACTTGCGACCCGTCCAGGGTGTACCCCGCCCCTCGCACAGTGATTGCTGGACATGGGCACCAGCGACCCCCGTGACCCAAAATGGAATAAGCGGGTAAAGATAATGGATGGATGGATGGGTTTGACCCTATTTTGTTGCCTTTTTGCTCCTCTTTAGATCCACCTGCCACCTTTTCTCACAATACAAGCTTTTAAAGTCCACATGTTCCTTTAAGAAGTTTGCAAACTGAGCCAAAGAGGGAGGTTATCCCGAAACCTCCCGAGATTAAAAAGCCTTGGCTGTGCATGAGGAGTAATGCAACAAACGAGCATCAGTTTTCTGGATTTCTTCTTGAACAGAGTAGAAACTTGGTGAAGCCAAGTGCTGTCAGTCACAATCTGAGATGATTATAAGATTTTAGAAAGTAGGAAACACTTAAACCATTAGAAATTTGCCATCTTTCATTTACTGAAGTGCAGTTAAAAGTTCAGAACCACTCAAAACCTGCCACTTTTTTCCAGTCCCGCCTCGTTGCTTCATCAGAACACATGATCTGGTCATTTATGATCTGTGCCCAGGAAGTGAGCAAAGCAGTCAGCAGCTCCGTTGGTTTGCCCTTGAGCAAGGCAGTTAATGCCAGCTTTCCAGCAGATCTACACAGTTCCCAACAGTAAAAACCCAGGTGTGTGTAAATAACTCTAAACCCTCTGATGGCAGAGGGGTTCTGGAGCAGTAAAGGGAGGGTGAGCGTCGCCTCGGCTCACCTGAGTGGAATCTGTCGAGAGGAATCATTGAAAGTTCTTCAGCAATGTTTTCATTATATTAAATAATTCTCTCCTCTGATCTGTGGCTTCAAAGTCTCAGAGAACAGATGCTGAAACATCTGGAGTCTAGTTAGCAGCAATTTAAAAAAAAAAACAGTTTGATGGGACTCAAAAGTTCTCATACAATCTGAGGCGTCAGGGTGGGCTCCTGCGTCCGCGTTAACCGTGACTCTAACAGGACCTGTTGAACGAGCAGTCACTTGTGTGCATGCAGATTTTACATCAGAAATTATAAGAAGAATACGCAAGAAGCATCACGCAAGCCTGAATGGTCTTGGCAGACGGAGGGCGTAGGGGACGCCTTGTGCAGATCGGGTCCAAACATCCACCAAAATAATAAATTCTTAAGGCGTTTGATGATGAATTACTTTGCCAGCAAGTGTTGCAACAATCTGAAGTGTAATTTTATATTTCCCTAAAGCTGAGCTCCGCAACCCTTGTTGATGACAAGATCAGCATACGCTTATTAAATCACTTGAGTTGTGGTTTGAAGCACATGGCTGTCCACAGAGAGTGGTGTCAGGTGCTGGCTAAGAGAAGGCCACACTATTTGTGATGTTTAAAAAGGAAACACTGTCATCCAGGAGTGTGGATCACAGGAGTATTGGTGAGCAATCAGCTCTCAGGAGTATGCATGCCGCTGACGTTAGTAATGCCTGCGCAGCAGTGATGGGCACAAGACGTGCAACCACAGCCGCCAGCCCTCCGTTTCACCTCCTCGACTGTGCAACCTCACATTCTTTAAGCGCCATGAGGTTTCAAATTCCCACAATTCAAGATTCTGGTCCAACATTTGGAGACTTTTCTGCAACCAGAACGTCTAATATTTGTATAGAAATGTGAGAGAAGCAGCGCTGCAGTCCCAGAGGTTACCCCCCCCCAAAAAAAAAAAAAAAAAAAAAAAAACATCTGTAGCTTTCTGTCCTAATTATCATCTTATAAATGGAGAATTCTTGTAGTGAGAGAGCTCAGAATAGTGAGACTACGAGCCGTTTTGACGGTGCTAATAAGGCAAAAGGAAATCTTGTGATAGCCAAATTGCACACCCTGGGGCGGCTGAATTTTAGTCATATCCTCACGAAGCAACGGGGAAGCTCATCCACTGCTCGCAACAGCAACAACCCCCCTACACACACACACACACACACTTTGAAGAGTTGAAAGCCCTCTAATTAATAGCATTTTGCCTTTGTGCTGAAAAAGAATGGTTTACTCAATCGTTGGCACTTGGCATACATACCAACACGTTGTCATCCTGATTTACTGTAACTCCGCATGCCTTTGAAGAGCGTGAAGGCTGTAAATGTTCTAATGATGTGAAATGAAGCAAGAAAGAGTGTGAAAACATTTCGCATAGCTTTTTTTTTTTTTTACTTAAATTAAGAAAATGATTATGTTTTCACTTTCATCTACAGTATCAGCTGCAGCAGTTTCTGTAGTAGCCTGTGCTTGTTTGTCTTTAGTCGTTTTGCCGGGGCTTAAATCTCGAGCCAGAAATTGGCTGTTGAATCATGTTTGGCTGTCAGAACAGACGAAAGTGTAAAGCCATATGGCTGAACATACACCAAGAATTCTTTGAGAGGTACAAAAATGTCACCCCCATGCCCCCCTTCCTCACCCAACCACCCGCTCCCGCTCTGTGTGCCAACAGCTGGAGAGGAGATGTGGAGGCACCTGCGGACCAAATGAAAAGCCAGCGTTGCTGCTCGCAGGAACATCTGGAGGGGGTGTCAATAAAGCGGTCTAACGCATATTTATCCACCGCGCTGGATTTCCCGTGCTCATAAGGTCAGACGTGGCTGGCATCTGGTCAGGGATGTAGATGTTCGCTACATCGAGCTCGCCCAGCGCGGCCGTCTGGGGGGTGTTTGACAAGATTCATTCCTCACTTTCAGGGATGGGAGAGGAGGGGGAGGTGTTATTAAAAAAAACAACTTGAGACATAACTTATCATGTCTGCCGCCTTCTGGTTTGTCAGTAGCTTCGCTTTAAAACCACTCAAAGAGGCACTGAGAGTTCACGCTGCTTTCAGGAGGAGGGTGGGGGTGCATCTTGTCATTGGGACTTTCATAACTGTGTTTACTTGAGGAACAGATGGAGGACGGCGTATGTGATCTTGCGCCCAATTGGAAAGTTCTCCAAAGGACAAAAGGGAAAAAAGAAAGGTCAAAATGTGCCCTGCTATCTTTTGATCCACGATAATTGCTGCACTTGTCGCTGCTTTGGAGATTCCAGTCATCTAAATATGAAGTAAATACCCAGCTGTCTGATTGGCTGCCATTGTTTATGACGACGTTCGGAGCGTGGCCGGCGAACAACTGGCTTTGGGTGGTCTTGCTGTGCTAGTGCCATGACTCTTTGTCTTATCAGATCCTGGCTATCCTCCAACGATGTGATCACAAACTGGCTGACTGCTGTAACCGGACTCAGATTAGCCTGTGTCCTTTTTTAATTTTTGCACAGAACGTCTTGCCGTCACATCGGTCATGTCAGGTCAGCGCATCCAGCTCCAGGTTTCATGTGAATGTAGGTCGTATAAGAACAGGCGCAGGCGAACACCCACCAGCTGTCAGCACATTTTCCCTGAACTCAAGGATGATCAGTTAGATCGGATCCCTTTCTTACGTTCTTTTCTTTTTTTTAGCTTATTCATGCCAACTCTGAATAGGGCTGGGACCAGGTGCCCCATGAATGGATGTTGCTCTCGGATTAACTGCAGTTCACGTCGTCCCTTTGTATGAAAAGGTGAATCTTAGAGCAGCCATGGCCAGGTGACGGTCTCAAACACAGACAAACACATCTTGAGTTACAGGATATGTTACAGACCTGATGGGGCGCACAATGACTTGGCCATGGGTGAATGTTCTTTTTCAAATGCCCCAAGTTGTTACCCTGCGAACAATACACACCAAGAATAGAGCGACTACTCATAGCTTGTTTCCTTTTAATAAAAATAAAAAAAAAAGATCTGTCAGCTTGTTCGTAGAATCCATCTCAGGTGGAGCCACTGCAATTAATATCATTCAGGTTCTGTGTAATTTTCCACAACCGTGATTTTTCTTTTTGTGTCCTGTTCCAGGAGAGGCTACAGTACAGGAATGGTGACTTCCACGCCACCCAGGACACCAGGGGCAGAACTCAGCGGGCGAAGAGGAGCCCTGGCAAGGAGTCAGAAACAGGTGCGAGCCGTTTGCGCTGTCTTCTCATTTTGTCCTCCAGACCGGTGGTGTAGTCTACATTTTTGTAGTGGGTATACTGTGCTTAGAAACCAAAGTAGTAGAAACACAATGTAATCATCAATTTGTTTTGAGTGTTAAGCATAATGAACATTTCCAAATTTCACTGATGCTTATATTTGAATAAATGAACAACAAACTTTGTACAACAGTTGGCTTTGGATGAAAAACATAGAATGTATAAAACAGTATCAAAGCAAAACATGTCTTAAGTATTACCAGTAAGTAATAAGTACAGATTTATACAATAATTTGCTGGATAATGAATGTAATAAACAAGCGCAGCATACAGATAGATTGGTACGGAAGCATTTAACTGCTGTTGAACGTATCAATAACACATGCCTAATGATATGTCATGTGTCATTGGGCACTTTTAAATGGGTACACTTAAGTTTTTAAGCTTTTCTAGTAGGTATCCTCCATATTAGAGTTGCACTTGGGTCCAAATAATCCAAACCGATCCGGCCTCAGCCCGCAGCCTTCATCTCCAAACCCCACCCAATCTGACGAATTAACAGTAATTACAGGTCCGAACCTGAAACCCCCCCCCCCGACATTTTTAATTAAGCTTTGACTACTTATACCACCGACAATCATTAATGGTCAGCGGACGCGTGCGGCTGAGTAAAGGGGGCAGAAGATCAGAGCTGAGGAGCCATCAAAGCGCATTAAATGCTTCCCTTGCTTCTGCCTGCATCCTGCTCTGACAAGTCGGATATTTTGTGATCTCACCTGTTTGGGTCGTCGGCCGTGCGTGTACGCTGAGTGCAGCGGCTGAATGAACGTCTATTTGAGCTGATGGATTGCTGGCAGCAGTCCATCTGAAGCTTAACTGAACTTTTTACCTCTTTCAACCAGCCGGTCAACGTGCGGTCAAATGGCCGCGTGTGGCAGGTGCAGTATAAATGGTAAATGGACTGTACTTATATAGCGCCTTTCTATCTTATTTCAAGATACTCAAAGTGCTTTACACTACAATCTGTGCCCTCATTTACCCATTCATACAGCACTCTACCAGATCTCTACAAAGCTAATTGAACAAATCATTCTAAAGAGACTAATCAGGGCTTTAGATCATATTCATACACTGATGGGACACACATCAGAGGCAATGAGGGGTGTGCGTCCCTGACACAATAAAAAGCCTGACACTGACCCAGCCCACACATTAAGCACATTATGGCGCGGCCTGGTCCGAATCTGGGTTGGGCGGGGCCAGGGTTCAAGTTAGAAATGACAGCTCTACTCCATATACCCGTGTATCGCGTAGAATACACTACTGCCTTAGTAAAGATGGAAGACGATAGAGTTTATAATCCTCAAGCTCTAGATGAATTACGTTAACGATTAAATGTGAACCGCGCTGCATCTGTGTCGGCCCGTTTGTTGGTTGTATGATGGTTTCTAGGCGAGGGAGGTGTAAACAAGTGTTCTTATGGGAGAACGTGTATCTTTGTGGAATAATTTCTCTTACTTCTTTGTGCTAACTTTTTTGGCCATGTTTATAGAGCGAAGAGATGAAATGAGAATGGGATTGATTATCACTTGGATAGCAAGCGAGGACAACGGGGGATTTGGGAGGGTTGCACCAATTCGAAACAGACAGTGAAGCTTCATTAGCTTCCCTTCAGTTCTAAAATAACACTGGGTTCCCCTCAAAATGTCCTCTGTCCCCATTAGCGAGCAGGTTTGGACTCCTGCTGTGTTACTGAACAGGTCATCAGAATATGACAAGAAAAAACTTGCTCATTTTTAAGAGCTGGCCTTTTTTTTTTTTTCCAAGGCACTTCTCATCTGTGCGGCTTTAACGTCTTCCATTAATTCCCACCCAAAAATTGATTTATGTTAACAAACAGCCCCGCAGAAAACCATATGGCCAATATGTCTGAATTAGCTTTTGTAGTTTTTGTTTAGAATCCGAGCTATGCAAATAAAAAAAAATAAAAAAGCAAAGCCTTTTGAAGTTTTGTGTCTGAGTGCAACAAGTGCATGATCACAAGGCATTCCAACGTCTGTGGCGTGACACTAAATACTTGAGGTGGGGCGTGGAAAGGGGATGGGGTGTGGGGGGGAGGGGGGATTTAGTGATTGTGTTTAAATTAGAAGAAAAAACTCACCTTTGAGACTTTCTACATAAATCAGTCAAGTCCCGAGCCTCTAAACACTAATCATTCCCAGGTCTCTCCTCTGCTCGTAGCTCACAGACAAAGGCTTTTGTAATCTCAGCCTTGTGTGTGTGTTGTGTGTGTGTGTGTGTGTGCACATGCAGTTGCAGCACCCCTAACGGGCACCAGATTCCAGATAGGGCTGCTCGTTAAAAGAAATCTACGCGGATGCATCCAGTCATTTAGCCAGAGGAGAAACACTAGCCATATGTTGGAGAGGGACTCAAACTGTGAGGTTTTAAGGTTAAACGGCCTTTGTAGTCCTAATGACACGGTAAACACAAGCAAGACGGCTTCTTTTGAAAGGATTCATCACATAAATACACGCACAGATGCACATGAGGTGCATTTTGACATTCGAGCTGTGACACTGATGTCCCTGCAGCATCAACGCACACATTGTCGAGGGGTGCAGGGGGGTGTAGAGTTGAGCGGGGTGCCTAAACAAACACATGTACACACACTTTCATCTGCGTTCTCCATCTGGGCCTAATTCAAAGAAAAGGATTTTGGCAGGATAAAGTATCTCTCTAATGATCTTCTCCAGTTCCACTGCCTGTGAATGCTTAAGGCACTTGTTCATACAGAGGAGGTGAAACCGCACTTACAAATTACTACACTCTGAGATACCGCAGAGTGGCATACCTTCACTGCAGTGTTCACAGTGCAACATCTGAATCTGGTATTTTAGCCGCTTTTTAGGGTACCTCCATGGAATGAGCCGGATATGTGAGATATTATTGGAGCTCATAATTGTTCCGGAGGACATTTTTGGCTCTTAATCACTCCGGTTTTGTTTCTTTCAGAATCCAATGGCAAAGAGAAAAGGAAAGAGAAGAAAAAAGGTATCTTCTTTATTCTTGCTCATTGATGAGATGATTTTTGGGAAGTAGAGCATCTTGGATTGAAAAGCTTTAAATATTTTTACGTCCATCATTGTATTGAATTCTTGTTCTTCAGGAAAGAAGAGGCCTGTGCCAGGGCCTCCTGGTCCCCCGGGTCCTCCAGGCCCACAGGGGCCGCCGGGCATCCCTGGAATCCCCGGTATTCCAGGAAGCAACGTTATAGGACCTGCAGGACCCCCCGGACCTCCTGGGCCACAGGGACCACCGGGCGCTCAAGGTCCAGCAGGTATACAACCTCCGAGCGGAATAAGATAACCGAGACCCAAGCCAGAGACTGTGAAAACGAGCCGAGAGATTTTCCTCTTAGATTACAGCACTCCTCCTGCTTTTAGCCACTTTCCCACACTTGAAGGGGGCTCAAGTTGTCAAAATTGGTTAACTCATTGCCTGCACCGCGAGCTCGTCTGAATCAGGATGTCAAACATTGTGCAGCATAGCAGTGATTTATCTTTAAACTATGTCAGTGTTTGTTTTGTTTAATCACCATTTCTCCTCCGTTGCTCTCCAGCGATGAACTGCGGAATGTTTTTTTCACGTCTGTCTCTTATTGTTGCAGGGGTTCCCGATAAGACAAAGAAATTCCAGGTAAGGGTATGTCACCTTTTTGTAAATTTAATCAATTCCTCACAAGTTCTTCGTCATTTTCGCCCCTTTTTCTTTTTTTTTTTTCTTTTCCACAAGTAAATTAGTCATGGAAGCTCTTTGTTTTTCAGCCGGCAGTGGTTCATTTACAAGGACAAGAAACAACAATCCAAGTCCGAGAAGGTGGGATCTTTGTTCATGCTCACTCAGAGTTATACTCCTGTGTTTGACACGAAGCAATAAGCAGGAATTATCCCTGTCAGTGCTGTTTGTCAAACACACAATTCTGGAGTTAGACCAACGCACATGCCTGCTGAACCTCAGAATCACAAGAAAACAAATACAACTTCTTTTGAACGTTGGCATGCCCGTGATGATTTACACTAGAGATTGAGTGTGCCACATTTTAGGATATTTTGATCTTTGCATGATGACTTTTATGGAAATACAACACAAAAGCAGCCATTTTATCCATTTGATTAGTATATACTGTAATATTCTGCAGTAGCTTCGAAGTCATTTTAATTTCAAACCAAACCCCAGGGCTTAAAGCCTCGCATGCTAACAGATTTTGCTGATTTTTCTTTTCTTTTTTTTTTCTCGGCCAAAAGAAGCGTAAGCATCATTAGCAGGTTTATATTTTGTCAATGCTGCACTCTGGTTCGAGTTAAACACTGCTGAGAGCTGTTTATGTTGACCATTTGCCTCTTCTGTGTTTGTTGTGACATGTTTAGATCTGTCTCAAGGCGTCCTCAGGAACTGGAAGATGGTGTCCATCAACAAAGACGTGTTCAGAATGAACCCTCGCACCGGGGAGCTGGTGGTGCTGCTGGACGGTGTCTACTTCATCTATAGTCAGGTAGAAGTGAGTACGGTTCTTGACGTAACTCTTTAGAAATAACCAATTCAAAGTGGAAAACAGCTGGCAGTTGATCTTAAAGAGCTGCTTGCTTTGTTACCGCTTGAGCTACGCTACAAGACGGATTTCTTTTCTCTCTCCCGGTGGTTGAATGTGCAGCTCCATAACTCACGCTCCTGTCAGCTGCTCTCATGCTGCAGCTGTTTGAGCTTTAGGCAGACCCTTAAATGATTTTGTGCTCTTGTTTCGATTACCCCTCTCGGTCTCATGTGAATTTCATGTCTGTCCACCCCCCCACCCCAGGTGTACTACCTCAACTTCACGGACATCGCCAGCTACGACGTGATGGTGGACTCCAACCCGTTCCTGCGCTGCACGTGCAGCATCGAGACGGGCCAGCGCAAGTTCAACACCTGCTACACGGCTGGGGTGAGCCTGCTCCGCTCAGGGCAGAAGATCTCCATACGCATCGCGCACGAGTACACGCTCATAAACATGACCAACCACACCACCTTCCTGGGCAGCGTCAGGCTCGGAGAGGCTCCATCTGCTGGACAGAACGGATAACTGCACGGCCTTCTGAATGGATTCAACAGCTGCCACATCAGTCCAGCTGGCTTTTTGTTCTACGTGGGACCACCGCGTTGATTAGAAGTATCTCGCCTCAGTTTAGAGGACGCTCTGGATTTTTAAGTGGAAGGAGGTGACATTTGTTCACTTTCACATGTCTGTATTAAAAAAAGGACAAAGACTGTTTTGCTTCCTTTTGCTATGATTCTCTGCAGACAGAAAGCCTCGGCAAATCCACATATCCCCATTAAACACAAGTTCCTATTTATAGCCCTTTTGTGTCAGCATCTCTCTTTGTAACAAGAAAGGACGCTGCGCTGACAGTAGTAATTACACTTCAAGTGCTGTTGAATGATAATCTTGTATCTCCCAAAAAAAAACAGGCTATTTTAAAATGATTTATATTTTTGTGTTTTGTGATTATTTAAGCATTTTAAAAAGGGGTTTGAAAACTCCATGAGCGAAAAGCTAAGCAAAATGGAGTTAGAAGGTATTCAAAAAGCAACAGCACTATATATTTTTGCACACATTTGCACTACGGCACCCCTGCAGAATTCCAGCGATACGTTTCCGCAGTGCTATTGTTTAGTTATGACTGAACCCATGATGAAAAGCAACCGTTGTTAATACACGTCTGTACATAATGTATATAAAATGGGATATACTTTTGTAAATGGAGCTGACTGATGAATTAAAGTGTTTTCACTTTTCTGCCTAAACTCGTCTCGTCTGTCCTTTTTGGTGTTTGCGCAGCCGGCGGTGTCCTTTTAAAAGCTTCCAGCCCCTCTTTTCTTTTCGCTTTTTATTTTGCACTAAGCTGGCACGAGCGCTGACAAGAATAAATGATGGTGTGTGGAGCGAGGCCTCCCTTTTTTCTTTTTGTCGTTATTAAAATGTGTCTTTTTACATTGACTGCGAGTTTCACAATACGCAGCGGAGTTGGCTGTAGCTTCAGCGCCTTAAATGAGTTCCATCTTGAGAGGCAGCAAGGGGACAGTTCCTCATTTAGAAATGAATTTTGAAACTGCAGGTTTCCGGTGTTTTCCTCGTGTGACCTCGCCCTGTTTGAGTCACTCGGGAACATCCAAGCCTGTGAGTCTTTACTATGCTTTACGAAACCTTTTTATCATCACTATCTGTGTTCATGTTTTGTTTGAGCTTTCTCCTGCTGCACAGAGTGAGTGTTTTAGAAAGTGATCTCCATAAGCTCCAAGGAAACGCAATTCTACAATTAAATCAGCAGCTTTCTGCAGGAGACAAAGGGAAAATTGCCCAGGTGTCTCAAACAAGGGAGGTATGTATGTGATCATTTGCAGCGTGGACTCATCTTGGACCTTGCACTATACTGATATTGATGCCATTAGTATTCAGATAGGGCTGCAATAATACATTTTATCGCAACGCTTTGTTTTCTCTCAGAACATGAAGCCAAGAGTTTTCCAAAGAGCTCAGAGTTCTCTGAAGATCTCTTCTAGCAGGGTAAAAAGGGAACCGAGCGGCTGCAGAGGTGGGTCGGAGCTCCAAACGTGTTGATTAGTTACGCTCTGGAAATGGGACCGTAAACAACGTACGCAAAGTTAATAAAATTAAGGCACGGTTTTTTATCTGCCCCTCTTCCTCTCAGCAGCTCCAATGTCTTTCCTGCAGTTAAAGGCTAACACAAACAAACAGCCAGAGAGAAGAGGTAAAACTAAATTCAAGTCTTTGGCTCCAGATATGCACCGACCTGCCATTATTTTGAATAAGTGTGTCTTGCCTTTCTCTCTAACCACCACCCCCCACCCCCAAGGAAATATAACAGTGATCCCCTGGACTGTTTCTGTACAGCGAGGAAATACGATTTCGCAAAGGGAAAACAGGGTTGTTGTCCAAGAAGACGGTTATTACTTGGTGTTTGGACAAGTACTGTGTCATTCCAAATCAAGCGGAACCAAGTTGATGCTGCGCATGATTTGTTCCAACGATTCAGCTAATGTTCTGCTCGACTCCCAGGTTCTTTCTGAAAGTGAAGACGAAGTTACAGGTCATGTTATTCAAAGCTGGAGCTCCACCGAGGCCGGGAGGAGATCAGCAGAGCTCTTGCGCTGCCTGCAGGACATGCCTGATCAAACTCATGGAAATACGTGCTACACTACAGGTCAGTGAGACGGAACTGCTGCTGGAGTTTGTTGCCCCGGAAACGAGACAGAATTATGGAAACCCATGTTTGCCACTAAAAAGCGCAAACATGTCAAACTGTATGTAATAATGAGGAAAAAAACTGTATGACATACAGTTTTCATGATAACAGTGGGATATAAATCAATATGAGATACAATTATTGAGTTTAAAAGTCATCAGTATGAGAAACAAGTCATTGTTTTTCATGAGTTAATCATGAGTTTCAAAGTCATCTTTACGAACTACAAAGTCATTACCAGTGTTATAAAATTATAGCTGAGATTTTAAAAAAATATATCCCAATTATGAGATATAAAGTCATATCTATTACTTTGTTGTATCTCAACATTATGACTTTCAAAAGTCATTAAGGACTTTGAAACTCAATAGTTTTCAATGACATTATGACTTTTAGTCATAATTAAGAGACACAAAGTCTTTACAAAACAATTTCTTCTGACATTTTCTCATAATCATGACTTTAAAAACATAATTTAACATAAAAAAAATTTCAATACCATTTTATTTTCACTTCTCAATTTGTATGCATCCTTTATGATTGTCCACTGTTGTCATCACTCTGATAAAATCAAGTCTCTCTTGCAAATGAGTCCCCGGGCTCAGTGGGATCGACCTGTATAAATAAAGGTTGAATGAATAATGATATTGGAACTTTGACATGCCATTTGACTTTTGTTGTTATTATTATTATTATTATTATTATTATTATTATTATTAGTGGCAGAAAAGATGAGATGCAAAAGCTTAATTTCTTGAAATAATGAACCTAAAACATTATAATTTTACTAAAAATTGTTTTAAAATAAGTTGATTTTTTTATTACAAACCAGATTCCAAAAAAGTTGGGACACTAAACAAATTGTGAATAAAAACTGAATGCAATGATGTGGAGATGGCAAATGTCAATATTTTATCTGTAATATAACATAGATGACAGATCAAATGTTTAATCTGAGTAAATGTAACATTTTAAAGGAAAAATATGTTGATTCAAAATTTCACAGTGTTAACAAATCCCAAAAAAGTTGGGACGAGTAGCAATAAGTGGCTGGAAAAAAGGAAATTGAGCATATAATGAACAGCTGGAAGACCAATTAACACTAATTAGGTCAATTGACAACATGATTGGGTATAAAAAGAGCTTCTCAGAGTGTCAGTGTCTCTCAGAAGCCAAGATGGTGTAGGGTTCTAAGGGCTAGCTTAGCTGCCCTTGACTACAATATATTTAAATAACGGGTAAGAGGATCACCAATTCCACCATTGTTGCGCAGAAAGATAGTGCAGCAATACCAGAATGGTGTTACCCAGCGTAAAATAGCAAAGACTTTTAAGTTATCATCATCAACCGTGCATAACATCATCAAAAGATTCAGAGAATCTGGAACAATCGCTGTGCGTAAGGGTCAAGGCCATAAAACTCTACTGGATGCTCGTGATCTCCGGGCCCTTAAATGTCACTGCACCTCAAACAGGAATGCCACTGTCAAGGAAATAACAGAATGGGCTCAGGAATACTTCCAGAAAGCGTTGTCAGTGAACACAATCCACCGTGCCATCCGCCGTTGCCAGCTGAAACTCTACAGTGCAAAGAGGAAGCCATTTCTAAGCAAGCTCCACAAGCTCAGACGTTTGCACTGGGCCAGGGGTCATTTAAAATGGAGTGTGGCAAAATGGAAGACTGTTCTGTGGTCAGATGAGTCACGATTTGAAGTTCTTTATGGAACACTGGGATGCCATGTCATCCGGACCAGAGAGGACAAGGATAGCCCAAGTTTGAAGCTCTCGACCTTGGCCTCTCTAAGTGGCTTTAAGAATCTGTTGGACTCCTGGCAGGGACCAATGCAGACATGTTCCTGTTTTAAGTTTTCTACATTCGCCTTAGAATCTAGCTGTTTTTGTTTTTTTGTTTGTTTTGTTACCTTTTCCTTTTAGCCATCCTATTTGTAAAAAAAAATAATAATAAAAAAAAAAAACCTGCAGTATGACTTTTTATAATTGTTTATTTGTTTATTGTTGTTGCTGTTGTCCATTGTTGTCATCTTTATTTGTTGAAATCAGGTCTCTCTTGTAAATGAGTCCTCGAAGCTCAATGGGATTTACCTGTTTAAATAAAGGTTGATTGATTGTTATCAACACTCCGTTCAGAAGCCTGCATCACTGATGGTATGGGGGTGCATGAGCGCTTGTGGCATGGGCAGCTTGCATGTCTGGAAAGGCACCATTAATGCAGAGAACTATGTTCAGGTTCTAGAACAACATATGCTCCCATCTAGACGTCATCTCTTTCAGGGAAGACCCTGCATTTTTCAACACGATAATGCCAGACCACATTCTGCAGCAATCACAACATCATGGCTACCTAGGAGAAGGATCCGGGTACTGAAATGGCCAGCCTGCAGTCCAGATCTTTCACCTATAGAGAACATTTGGCGCATCATAAAGAGGAAGGTGCGACAAAGAAGGCCCAAGACGATTGAACAGTTAGAGGCCTGTATTAGACATGAATGGGAGAGCATTCCTATTTCTAAACTTGAGAAACTGGTCTCCTCTGTCCCCAGACGTCTGTTGAGTGTTGTAAGAAGAAGGGGGGATGCCACACAGTGGTAAAAATGGACTTGTCCCAACTTTTTTGGGATTTGTTGACGCCATGAAATTTGGAAACAACAGATTTTTCCCTTAAAATGATACATTCTCTCAGTTTAAACTTTTGATCTGTGATTTGTGTTATATTCTGAATAAAATATTAGATGTTGGCACCTCCACATCATTGCATTCAGTTTTTATTCACAATATGTTTAGTGTCCCAACTTTTTTAGAATCCGGTTTGTAGAAACTGGGACAGTCAGCAGCCACTAGGGAGCACAAGCCAGTTGTGCCTGTCCCAAGCCCGGGTAAATGGTGATGGTTGTGTCAGGAAGGGCATCCGACGTAAAAGACTTTGCCAAAACTAACATGCGAGTTCATCTAAGTGACACTGTAGTGGATCAGTTTATGACCGCCACCGGTGCTGTTGACAAACAAGGTGCTAGCAGATATTGTGCTACTGTTAGTCGAAGACCACGAGGAGGGAAACATGTCAGGAGACAGATGGAGAAGAGGAAAGTCAAGAATGTAGGATAGAGGGTTGCAACTCTAAATGTGGGGACAATGACAGGCAAAGGTAGAGAGCTGGCTGGCTTGATGTAGAGAAGGCAGGTAGATGTTTTATGTGTCCAAGAAACAGAGTGGAAGGGCAGCAAGGCTCGTAGCATTGGCGCTGTGTTTAAACAGTTTAACCATAGTGTGGATAGAAAGAGAAATAGTGTATGTGTGTGAGGGTGGATATCTGAAAGAGGAGTTAGCAAAGAACGTAGTAGAAGTGAAAAGAGTGTCAGATAGGGTGATGTGCCTAAAGGTAGAAGTAGAAGGTCAGATGCTAAATGTTATCAGTGGTTATGCTACACAGGTTGAATGTTGGAGGGGAGGGGTCAAGAAAAACTTAATTTTGTCAATGCTGAGCTAAGATAGACATACTAAAATCAATCATTTCAGGTAAAAAGAATATCAGGGCTACTTGGGTTTAATGAAGGCTACATTTACATTAAAAAAATAAGAATGGTGAGTTTGTTTAAAGTGACACGTATGTACGCTGTTTGTTACAGGCACCGTGCACTTGCTTCAGGATGACGAACTGGAACTCGTGGTCGCGTACCGACCTTCCGCCCTGATCGCCATGGAGCCTGATGCAACATTTTTTGGTGTCATGCAGCTCAACTGAAACTAACCCATTGGAAGATTATGAGTGAAGCAGGAAATGGAAAACTAACACACATCTGTGTGAGGGGAATGTTGATAAAGCGTCAGCAGAAGGGAAACCACTGGGGTCTGATACTAATGCTATTTATACAAGTTTCTGCACATATGTCAGTGTTTTTAGCCTTTAAAATGGCCTGTTCAAACAATTCTTCCCCCCTCTGCTTGTGCATCCTGCTGTTTCTTTTGTTCACCACCGAGTCCTTTCATCAGTCTATTTTTGCACGTCTCTTTATACCTCCACCACGGTGTCCCTCCTGCTCCACCAACCTGTTGTCCACGTTATTTGTTCGTCTCGTCTATTTTAGGTAGGCTATTTCCGTTTTCCAAATTATCATCAGGAACAAACAAATGCATAAATTTATACAGGACTTTCCTGCCTCATACAAAATTCAACAACACGGCAAATACTGTAAAGTATATTAAAACTCATTTTATGTAAATAATACACAACAACACCAAAACTCAACGTTACATTTCTAACTTTTAATGTTAATTTTTTATCAAACCTGACTTTTTTTTTTCTATTTTAAATCTTTAGTTTTCTAACTCAAATTAAGAGGTTTGGTGATTCTTCATGCCTTACAAAGATGATGTGTCATCATTTAAGTGTCACTTGTCTAGTATCCACAGTGTTTATCTGGTGTCCACAGCTGTTTTCTCCCTCGCTTTTTTTTTATTTTTTATAAAGCATGGCTATAAGAGGTGGTGTGTGAGTGTGTGACAGCAGCAGTCATACAGTTTAGCAGCAGCAGCAGCAGAGAGAGAATGGTTGGACATTTATTCCCTGCTCTCATACTCCTCTGTTCTTTCAGCCATTACTTTTGTACAACTGGGACATATTTTGCTCCAAAGGTAAGCTCAGATTAAATAAAAGATACAGCCTTACAATTAATTCATTCAGATGGCTTGAGACTTTGGCATGCATTTGTTTTCGTATGAATTTGATTTCTCTCTGATTTCAAGAAGCAGTCCTGGAGCAACCAGAACCTGTCCTCTGTCCCTCTTGGTTTGGACTTGAGGCTCAGAAGACTTGATCTGTCAAGTAACTTCATCAGACAGTTGCACGCGCTCGCTTTGCCAGAATTGGAGCAGCTGGACCTGAGCGGCAATCAGCTGGATCTCATCTCCGAAGGGGCATTCAAAAACGTGTCTCGACTTGAACGCCTGAACCTGTCCAGGAATCGTCTGAACGTCCACCTTGGCAGCAACAGCAAAGCCCTCGGATCCCTCGGCCGGCTGAAGAGTTTAGACATATCAAAGAATGGATTGAGAGATAATGAAGCGGAACTGTTACTTAAAAACAAGTCTTCTCTTGATCGTCTTACGATGAGCGGCAACTCCTTAACAAGGCTTTCATATGGCCTGTTCAGGGACAGCAACCGTTTAAGAGCCATCACTATTGACGACAATCTGATATCAGAGATAGCAGAGGGGACGTTTGAACCGCTGGGCCAGTTAGAAACGCTTAGTTTGGCTCAAAACAACCTTGCACATATTTGTGATTTTAATCTACATCAAGTTAAATATTTGAACCTCAGCCAAAATTCAGTGGAGTTTTTCGTCACGCGGGAAGATGACAAGCTCTATAGTCTTGAAATTCTTGACCTGAGCCACAACAAGCTTCTCTACTTCCCAATAGTTCCCAAAATGAACCAATTACAGTATCTGCACTTGCAGAATAACGTGCTTGGTAGTTTAACTTTAGAGGCTGTGATGGTGTCGGAGACTAACGCTCTTTATGCCGAGATCATAAAGGAGAGAACGCTTAGAAGAAATTATCTACACGCAAACTGGAGGCTGATGCCACTGGTTTATATTGACCTGAGCTTTAACCACTTCACGTCTTTTCCTCTTGAGACTTTGAGCCTGCTTCCATTTTTAGAAACGCTGCATTTTGGCAACAACTGCTTACAAAGCATAAAGTGGAATATTAGAAATTATAATGACTCGGGATACATTCGCCAGCTGTTTTTTCATTCCTTAAAGCACCTTGACTTGCAAAGCAACGGCCTTGCGTATATCTCCCCGTTCTTTCTCAAGGCGCTAACACACGTAGAAACGTTGAATCTGCAGGACAACCTTGTGCAACCTTGCGCTCACGATGAGAATTTTAATAGCCCTATCTCAGAATGGCGAATCAATCCAACATCCTGTGCAAAGTTTGGGCAGATTAAGACTCTGAAACACCTCACTCTTAGAGAAAATGGTATAAAAATACTTCCTTTAAATGCATTTCGGAGAACTTCTTTGGTTTCTCTTAACCTTGCAAAAAACCCACACATGGTAATGCATGAGAGAGCCCTGGAAGGTGTGCAAACAACCCTACAGTCTTTGACCATCAGCGAGACAAATATGAGCAGCTCCCGTCTGTCTTTACCCTGCATGCCGGCATTAACTGAGCTGAACATCTCAAACAACAACCTCGATCAGATACCCAGCCAGTTAGGCTGCTCTCCTCTCCGACTAATAGATGTAAGAAACAATACGTTTAAGACATTAAACCATTCGCTGATTCAAACTTTATCCGTAAACCTCACTACAATGTTCATCAGTGGAAATCTGTTCAACTGCTGCGACAGTAGATGGGTGGCTGTCCTAAACGAGACGAGCGTTACTCTGCCCGACATCGGTGAGACTGAATGCTTCACCCGTGTGAGAAACTTCATGATGACAGAATATCTCAAAAGCCCGTTGCTTCCTTGTTTGCTTCATAAAGAGACACAGGGAGTTCATTATGTTCAAATGGTTACAACCATTTTATTTATAACTGTGTTATTGACAGGGTTGATCGTGTTCAGTAGGGAGGTGTGTTGCACACAGAGATTGTTTTGTAGTATGACATCTAAAACGTGATTTTACTAGTTTATTTTGCACAGTCTGCATAGGATTTGCATATAGGTTGCATTTAAAGCAGTGGTTCTCAAACTAGGGTCCCTGGACCCTCGGGGGTCTGCGAACCGGTTCTTGGGGGTCTGAAAAAAATATATATATTACAAGCATGTAGATGTTTAACAACCTGTTAAAATACACCAAAATGCAGGAAATCACAACTACTTTATTCTAAATTTTCTGGGGAGGACCCCCAGACTCCCCCACTGCCCCCCAGCCCACCCCCACCCCCCAACACCACCACCCGCTTTTGGCATTCTGGCATTGATCGGTTTACAAATGAAGCCTTGTTACTTGGTATGACTGCTGCTGTTATGATACTTTTCAGTTTTATGTAAAAGAGTTAATAGTTAGAGTGTAATAGAGTGTAATCATTTGAAGTGGCAATGCATTTATTATGTTCATTATGTGAAAAGGCACAGTGGTCAGTGCAGTGGTCTTGTAATCCTGAGGTGGCAGGTTCGAGCCCAGGATGCATCAGGAAGGGCATCCGGTGGAAAACATTTGCCAAATCTTTAAGTTTTAATTAAATCTGTAATTTTTAGAAGTTGCAATTAAAAAACGTGTTAATTAATTGTGTCTTGAATGAAAAATACCCCATGTTTAAAAGTATAAAAATTATATTAACACTATTAAAGAACAGGTCTTAAGTATTTATGTTACACAAATATTTATATTGCATTAAGAGACAAATTGAAGGAAACTATAAACATGAGGGTTATGAGGGGGCCCTGAAACTTTTTCTCCCCTGTAAGGGGTCCCTGAACCCAAACAGTTTCAGAACCCCTGGTTTAAAGTACATAAAACGCATGCACGCTGTGAGGAAATTGGAGAATAAACCAGAGTTCCTGAAGATAACTCCACAGAGTTTCACTCCGCATGATCCAGTTTCTTATCAACTTGATGTCTATAAAAACAAATTTCCTTTTGATAAAATGCATAAAAACTTCCTGTAGCATTTGGCTTATGATTCAACTCTCCCTCTGATCAAACTTTCTGAAAATTAAAATCTTTATCTCATCGTTAAAAGACGTCCCTTTACACGACATCCATGCTCCCATGCTGCTTGCTTAAAATGCACATCGAATCAAAGACCGCACAGAAAACTTTTTTTAAACTTTTGTTCACAATACTCTTAGTTTACTTTCTTTGTGTACTTACAAAACTATTTAAATGTTCCTAGAACCAACATTCAACTTAAAAAAAAACCCTCTTGTAACACTTTCTGTCTCAGCTGATACTGATCTGATTGTATAAAACTCTGGAACGTTTGTTTCTTTCAACAAGATACATTTGAATTCATAGCACAACATCAATCAGAGCTTTGTAACATATACGACTTTGACTCTGGAACATGTTATTCTGTAACTGTCATGCTGTACAAAAAAAAACTATGCTGTGTTTAATGACCACAATGTGCTGTCAGTCTTTATTTAAGAGTCTGCATCCTCCAATTTATCACGTACAAAATAAACCTCTTAAGTGGGACATAGGATTTCTTTTTTTTTTAGAAACGTCTGTTTTCAGTTTAGCAACCACTGAACCATAAAATGCACACAATCAGGTTATGATCATTTGTACTGAACAGTCACACAATACATCAGAACAATTTGGCTCAGCTACGCTGGTGAAGATTCTCAGTCATCCAGGTCATGATTAAAATGTTCATATTTTAGACAGAGAAGACACATGGGTTGAGAGGAGGGTGAAGGAAGCCATTTACGTCAAACACGAAAAAACAACTTTAAACAGAAGAGCAGGTCTCAGATTTCAACTTTCAAAAACTTACAAAGCAGCATTAGGCCTGATTCTCAATCAGCTCCAGTCCAATTCACTCCTTCATGCAGGAGACATCTTTCTGTGAGCCAGGCAAAGAGTCTAAAGAGGCTTGGGGCGGGGCAAGTAGTTCCATTCTAATCTGTATGTTTAGGAACGTCTTCAGCTTCAAAATAGAAGTCCAGTTGTTTTAGTTTAAACCCTAAAGCTTAAATTTCACATACTGTAACGCCACATACTGTTGTTCGTGTTTCAAGTTTAAAATAAATATGATGTGATGGTGATGGCCCAGCTACTGCCATTTCAAATTTTAGCTCACTATCTGAAGAAATTACTAAGTTATAACCATTTTGGTGTTTGCTAAGGTTATCATGCTGTGGTGGCCATCTTGAATTGGGTTGACTCCAATTGTTTATGAGTTGTTGATTCTTTCATGACAAGAAATGTAAACTGATACATTAAAAAACTGTAAGCTTTATTGATAAGCTGCATTGTTGTAGGATGTTGTGTTGAGCATCCATCCAAATATCTTTTGACACATCCTTCTTCCAACTAATGCTTTTTCTTTTTTCTTATTTCGGCATTCCCCTCTTCAGGGGTTGCTACAGCAAGTCACCGTCCTCGATCTCTGTTCTCTGCATCCTCTGTACTCACTGAAGCTACCTTCATGTCCTCTAACTGCATCCATATATCTCCTCTTTTTCTTTTTCCCGGCAGCTGCATTTCTAACTAACATCCTTCTACCGATATACCCACTGTACCTCCTCTGGACATGTCCAAACGATCTCAGTCTGGCCTCTCTAACTTTATCTCCCAGTTGTTCAACCTGTGCTGTACCTCTGATGATCTCATTCCTAATCTTATCCATCCTTGTCACTCCTAAGGAGAACCAACATCTTCATTTCCACCACTTCCAGTTCTTTCTCCAGTCTTTTTGTCATTGTCTCTGTCTCCAGACCACACAACATAGCTGGTCTCACCACTGTCTTGTAAACTTTTCCTTTGACCTTTGCTGACACCCTTTTGTCACAAGTCACTCCTGAAACGTTTCTCCATCCACTCCATCCTGCCTGGACTCTCTTTTTCACCTCTTAACCACACTCCCCATTTTCCTGGACAGTGGACCCCCAAGTACTTGAAGTCCTGCACCTTTGTGACCTCTGCTCCTTGTAGTCTCACTGTTCCACCGGCCTCCCTCTCATTCATAAATGTACTCTGTCTTACTACGTACGGCTTACATTCCTCTTCTTTCAAGTGCATACTTCCACCTCTCCAAGATCTCTTCCACCTGTTCCCTGTTCTCAACACAGATCACAGTGTCAGCTGCAAACATCATTGTCCACAGGGAATCCTGCCTGACCTCATCTGTTAGTCGGTCCATCACCAGAGCAAACAAGAAGGGTCTCAGATTCTTTATGCAATCCCACCTTGAAGCTATCTGTCATTTCTACAGCACATCTCATCACTGTCCTGTTGTCCTGTACCAGTCTAACATACTGGTACTTCTCTGCCACTCCAGAGTTCCTCATGCAATACTACACCTCCTCCCTCGGCACCGTCATATGCTTTTTTCTAAAACCACAAAGACACAATGGAGTTCTTTCTGACCCTCTCTGTTCTTCTCCATCAGCGTCTTCAAAGCAAAGATGGAATATGTGGTGCTCTTTCTTGGCATGAAACCATACTGTTGCTCACAGATAGTCACCTCTCGTCTAAGTCTAGCTTCCACATCTCTCTCCCAAATCTGCAGTGTGTGGCTCATCAACTTAATTCCCCTGTCCAACTCTGTACATCACCCTTGTTCTTAAAAATGGACACCAACACACTTCTTCTCCCTTCCTCAGGCATTTTCTCACCCTCAAATATGTCATAGAATATTTGAGTCAAAAACCTCACTGCCATCTTTCCAAGACATTTCCAAACCTCCCCTGGTATGTCATCAGATCCTACTACGTTCCCCTTCTTCATAATTTTCAGAGCTTTCCGAACTTCACCCTCACTAATCTTTCCCACTTCCTGGTCCACAGTTTCTATGGCTTCTACGTTTCTATCCATTTTATTCTCTTAATTTATTAGCTCCTCAAAGTACTCCTTCCATCTTCCCGGCACACCCTCCTCACTTGCTAAAACATTACCATTCCTGTCTTTAACAAGCCTAACCTGCTGCACATCCTTTCCAGCCTGATCCCTCTGTCTTGCCATACGGTACAAGTCCTTCTCTCCCTCTTTAGTGTCCAGCCTACCATATAACTCATCATACGCCTTCTGCTTTGCCTTTGCCACCTCCCTCTTTGCCACCTCCCTCTTTGCAACCTCCCTTTTCTTCCAACTAATGCAAAATACCAATTTAGAGTTTTTTTGTATCTCTTACAACAGTTTTCACCAGGCAGACCCATGCCATTAATGCCTGACATTGCCTCTGAACAGAATATTTATCACTCTGTTCTCGAGTCACATCACAGAAAGGAAATGTGTTTACTGCCCCACCCCACAGGTTGTCTAGATCATGTAACAGCTTGACAAGTTTAAGCAAAGAGGACTCAAAGAACAGAACAGTGTGTGGATGTTAGGTGTAAAACCATAAGAATGCAAATGGTAAATTACATTTGTTCTTTTTTCTTGGTAATAAACAGTAGCTGGCATTTACACATACACAGCAACTTGTTCAGAAGCCATTACTATAAAATGACTGTCTGCAACAGCACAACATGCATTACATATAATTTGTGAGGGTCTTTTGTGGAAAGATAAAAAACAGTCCAATTATCCATCCATCCATTATCTTTACCCGTTTGTTCCATTTTGGGTCACGGGGGTCGCCGGTGCTCATGTCCAGCAATCACTGTGTGAGGGGCGGGGGACACCCTGGACAGGTCGCAAGTCCACCACAGGGCTACATAGAGACAAACGAGACAAACAACCATTCACTCTCTCACTCACACCTAGGGACAATTTAGAGTTACCAATCAGCCTAACATGCATGTTTTTGGACTGTGGGAGGAAACCGGAGCACCCGGAGAAAACCCACGCATGCACGGAGAGAACATGCAAACTCCACCCAGAAAGGCCCCTGGACCGGGGTTTGAACCAAGGACCTTCTCGCTGAGAGGCAGCAGCTCTACCAGTTGCGCCACCGTGCTGCCAGTCCAATTATTTTAATGTAAACTCATTATTGCCATATAAAGAAA